TAATAACATTTACTTTTCCTTCTTTGACTTCCCTTTGCTTGTTTCCACTTTTACTCCATGTTGTATTTCTGTGCTGCGAGACTGAGCATTCACGTGATGTGACTACCTACGTGGACCCATTAAGATGTACGGCATGTGTCTTTGGACCACATGAGAACTGTTCAAACTAGACAAACCTAGCCTCCGTACCCTTCGCGTTCGGGGTTGAACTTTGTATGGTGTGTATTTCCATAAAACCGTATTGTTGTTATCTTCCTTTTACGAAGTTTCCGACACAAACAGCATCAAAAACCTGCCAACACCTTACGTAAGCTCATTCCATCTGGTTGCCACATTGCAGCAGTTGGTATACTAACTATACTAACTAGAAGTTGGTATACTAACTTATTCTCATTTGTCGCGGTGGTTTCTCCTCGGGATTAGGACCCAACACCAGCAGTACGGCGGTACGCAGTACCTACGCTTCGCTACCGCAACACAACCACTAGTCGCAGGTGGGCTAACGATACCGAGAGGGAGGCCTTGAAGCAACACAGACTCGCACCCACACCCCCGGATAATAAGCCAGACTTCCGATCCATAAGGCTTCAGGTCCGAAATAACCATCCGCCTTTTGATACTACTTAATAGCCTACAGACATAAGCAAAACTTTTTAGCTCACTTTACAGTTCATCTGAGTGGGACTGAAGGCTTGGGAGTATTTTTCGCTGTGTGCTTCTTTGAACCGGAAGTGCTAAGCTGCTCTAAATTCTTGTCGAACCTAAAACGAAGTAACCGATCCACACCGCTATCAACCAACTAACGCCCACGTATCCGGCATTAGTCTGCTGTTGCGGTGACGTACAGTAAGTCGGCTCTTCGCCTGGGTGTAACGAGCTTGTCTCATAACCTTGTGGCGCAAGTTCGAATCAGCGTAGTGGTGGGCGTCCTCGCGATATATTTAGCCGCCGTGCGACTGGTGGTTATCGCATGGCAGCGAAGCGCCGTTACGGCGTACAGCTTACACGTGCCATACGAAAGATAAACGAATGCAACTCAGAAAGAAAGAGTGGAATTGCCGTTAAGCAGAGGATACTACTAATGCTTATAGGGAGCTGAGAAAGTGAGTCCATATGGAGGAGTAATTTAAGAGTGAGGGTAATATTAAATAAATAAATAAATAAATGGTATATGCTAGGTAAAACGAGACACACCTCTAAAGGCATAATCAAATATGCATACAAGCATAGCTTCTTTGGAATCTTAAAACATTTCGTTTTAATAAAAGGAATAAACGAAATGATGTAGTCCATATGAGCGAGCATATTGTCAGGTAATAGTCAGATCAAGGACCATGATGGCGCTGTGGCGCGCAAATCTGTTGCGTCAAGGAATAAGTGGGGGTAAATTTGCCATGCAGTTTTCCATGAGCACAGGAACCCAAACAAGATTTAGTGCAACCAATGACCATTACGAAGCCGGGATGATCTGTACTCTATTAAAACATTCTTCATAGTAAAATCAGTTGCACAGGTTGGATGTAGAAGGCTGAGGAATGCGTCAGTGTCCAATGTATGGCTGTGGCTTTATTTTGTGCCGAGTCACATCGGCCACGTTGCAGTGTTGTTAAGCGGACATTTGTGGCTTTTTATTGGGAGAACGCTTGCCAGGCGAAAACCCACCACGTCCTGGAAAGCTGTCGTAGCTTCCGTTGAACTGTATTGGTATTAACACTAGAGCATCCGGCTGACTCAAAATATTTTTTACCGCGGACGCTCTAACCACGGCGTCTAAAAGTGAGTTCCAGCTTTCGATAACTTGGTGCGGTAAACGGGTTATCCGCCTGCACGGCAGCATGCGGCTTAGGCAGCTCCGTGGAGCAATGCCAAATATTAGATAAGTTAACTACATACCCAGCATAAGTCCGGAGCGATTTTGCTCGTGAGGTAGCGGTTTATAGGAAGTAAGTATACATGAGTCCTCCGACAGTGCATTGAGTGCATTTCCAAACTGCGTAGACACAAAGTGTACGACTGTCCTTCTAACCCCTTTAATAACAGTACCTGCACACAATACCCTTTCCATATCCACTTTGTCCTAGACAAGGTATGGTAGGCAGGAACAGGCGCAATACTCTAGGTGAAGTCACACAAAAGCTAGGAAGAATTTAACATGTCAGCTCAAACGATCAAGAAAGAAGGCTGGATAAATCACAACATAGGTATATATAGCACCAAGTGGAAATGCCGAGGCGGCACTGCTGTAATGGTTCCTGCTTACCAGCCGGCTATGTGCAGTTCGGCTTTGGGATTCGTGTGGAAGCAAAAAGCACCTCGAAGAGAGACGCAACTTGTTTGTGCTCTCCGTAAACGCTCCAAATGACTGCGGTGGCGACTCGGTCAAGGACACATGCTACCGGCCCTACCGGTTATCAGCTATTGACGAATGCTAAAAATTCGGTTGTCGTTGTCCTTGCTGGGAATTTGAATGCACGGGTTGGCCGTCTGTTATCATAAGAAAGAACCTTGGTGAGCATCGCGCGCTCGATGAGAACCGCTCTGATAACGAAGGGACGCTTCTCACGTTGTACGAAAACAACCGTCTGCTTTCTTGAGCAAAGCGTTCCGCATCGTGGCGTAACCCTTTGCCAACCCTATGGTGGCCTCAAATTGATTACGTTTCAATTACCTTCCTATGACTTGCTAGGGTATTAGGCTGCAGCTTTTTTTGGTTTACCTTCGTTTGTCTGCGCGGAAGGCTTTGTGTGTTGGGCGTCCCGAAACATGAAGCACCGTGACATGGATGTAAACGGAGTAACTGCTCTCTCTGTTAAATAAATAAATAAATAAATAGGTATATTTCTAGACCTGCTAGAGGCTGCACCCTAAAGGGTTCAGATCAATGCTTACATTTATCCGATGCTCTTGCATGGAAGTTGGCAAAATATATGTTCATCGTTAGCAATTGCAAATGCATTGGCACTGTTTAGTATACAGCTACTGGGTCGCAGGCGCCCACCTTGACATTTTTCTGGTTCCTTCGGGCGATATTGAGCTCCTTGTATTTTATTGTGAAAACTTCGCGGAGGTGTAGTTTGCCTTTTCTCCTTGGAACAGAATCCAATTTGCCACAAGTTCACTTTAAATTGATCGCACAATAATTTGCCACTCAGTTGCCCCAATTGTTGTTTCGCACATGGAAGAAATGAATGAAGGGATTATAAGGCATACGAAAAGTTAAAAACAATTCCGATAAATGCAGACATAAATAGAAGCAATTTGTTAAGAGAGAAAATTAAGCTGCGTACTTCAGTAGAAAAATACCAATTAACAAAAAATATATAGCCCTACTTTTATTACGCTGATATTGCTCACCGGCGCAAAATATCAACCTGAGTTATTCTCAGATAAAAGAAAAGGCCTTTCTACAGTTAGAATACCGCTTAAAGTAGCACAAAATTACACTGGTCTGGACCAGCTTTAGCGCCTGAATACGATGAACGTAAAAGCAACACCATGCGTGCAGTAGTTTGCGAGTTATTCGCAATTAAACGATGGTCTACGAATAAGGCCATTTTTATTTTTCGCTAAAAATGGCTTTCTGCTTTGCAGGCAGATAGCAGAAAAAATAAAATAAAATATAAAAAGTAGGGAAGCGGTGTATGTTCTAGATAGGCATAGCTATCCAGAAATGCTCTAATTAGCCCGTTATACCCTGCGACAACTACGGACTGCGCAGGTGGCCGAAAAGTAAACTTCGCAGGCAAGCATGAAAAATATATGCAAATAAAAGATGAGCTTGCGCGAAAACGCTAGAAATCCAGCAAGGAATATTATATCTACAAGGGAATTCAGGGGAGCTTGTAATTAACTCACGGTTAGAAGGCCACAGCATACAATTTTCAGGGGATACTGAGCCACATAAACAACCAGTAAAATAGAGTTTAGCATTTTTTTAAGCCTCTAAGCTTTTCTAAAGCTTACAACAAGGCCGCATGAGCCAGGTCTACCTGAGTAATCCAGGGGATCTTTCAGATCCGTTGACAGATTTCGGCCTGCAAAATACACACATTACTTAGCTAAACATTACAAGATTTATCCCTTAGAGCCGATTTTCTATATTAATGAGGCTCTGTCTCTAACATCAGTGAGCTATAGGAGTCTGTCACTAATAATAAAGAAATGAGCATGGGAAAATTTAGTAAAATTTAGCTAATTGCATTTGGGCGTGAAATCCGTTTTGGTCTACATTGGTTGGGCTTTAACAACTCTACTTCTGGTGGTTGAGCTTGCTTATACTTGAGGTATTGTTATGCCTCATGTGTAGATGCACACTATTGTGCAGCTCTTTGATGAATTTCGATTTATTTCTCTCCATTTTTAAGTTCCGAAGATAGTGCCGGCGGTGTTCATCCAGATGGCAATGTTAACTGGCACTCTAATGTCACACCGACTATTTCTTTTGTGATTTTCCTTGCAAGAGCTGTTCTAGCACCCTAGGCAAAGAGCGATAAGGTAAATCAGGAGTAGAATAGTAACAAAAACCAGTGGGAGCTGGTCGTTCACCCGCCATTACGCATAACGCATGGTAGGCTTTGGAGCCAGCTAAAAGATAAATGACACACGGGCGGCCAAGAGAAGAAAAGTGGTGATGGAAAGTTTCTGGTGCTCCAGCCAACCAGTGTGACAGGGGCCTCTCTGTCATTGGTTAGCTTTCGTGCCAGTGAAATGAAATCTGAAAATGCGAGTGTTTTACGAGCAAAAGCAGTTAAAGAAGAGGATCTGATTTTCATTATGCCTGTCTACTAGTGTTGCCAATAGCGAAAGGCACATGTATACCAGATAAAGCTAAGTATATGGGGTCAAGAGAGAGTAAGTGGAGAGCAAAATGTCTGTAGCAGTCTGGAGATTCCCCGGTTTGCTTGTGTAAAATTCTAACCAAAATTCTATAATTGTACACTTAGGCAACCGGTGTGGTTTGTTGAACTGATTGCTGAGTTCGAATGCTTTACTTGCTCATCGCCATTTTTGCTTGGCGCTCGCTTCGGTTGCAACGCGCGACTGCTCTGTGTGCTGTGCTTGATCCGTTCCCCTAGCTAGAGCGTCCACGGTGTCGTTCATTTATAGCTAGCTAACAGGGAATCTTTTGCTGAACCAATAAAAGTTTCCCTGCAACTCGATCCGTCTTCTCGAATCGCTCTCTGGGCTCCCGGAATAGGCAACCCTCTAAATTGGTGACCCCGGATCCGGAACAATCTCAACGCCGGATATTTCGAACTTTTCTCCGGTGAGCTCGTTCCATTTATTTTTCATATTTTCCGGTTTATTTTTGCATACGGTAGCCTATTTTTTCGCGTCATTTTTTCAAATCATGGAATCTGTAGACCATAAGGTAGAGTCTATGCTTAGTGTTGTATCTCTCTCTGTTCCACCTTTTTGGGACATGGATCCTGTTTTGTGGTTCGCTCATCTGGAGGCTGAGTTTTATAACCACAGAATCACTTCCGACTACGCGAAGTATTGCAAGCTCCTGTCCTATCTCCCCAAGGAGATATCAATGCAGGTTCGTGACGTTATCATTTCTCAGACCGATAACCGCTATGAGGCTCTGAAGGAGGCCACGATTAAGCGTGTTATGCCCTCTGAGAAAGTTCGCCTGCAGCAGCTTTTCAGGGATCTGCAATTGGGCGACAAACTGCCCTCAACCCTGCTACGAGAGATGCAGCAACTCCTTGGTTCATCAACCATGGACGAGACTTTACTTCGCGAACTATGGCTACAGCGGCTACCGGAAAACACACAAGCGATTCTCGCTACAGTGAGCTCCGTTCCGCTCACTCAACTAGCAGACTTAGCGGATCGAGTTATTGAACGATCACAGCCACAGGCCAACGCCAGCAAGGTCCATGCCGTCGCGTCCCAGGGCACTTCTATCACTGGCTTACAGTCAACCATAGAAGCCCTGCAAGCACAAGTTGCGACACTTAGTCGCCAGGTGCAACAGCTTACTATGACCCGTCGTCGTCCTAGCCGCTCAAAATCGCCCTCCAAACGTTCTCGGTCTAGCAACAGGCAAGTTAGCTGTTGGTATCATCAGCGCTTTGGTACCGCAGCTCATAAATGTGTAAAGCCTTGCAACTTCGCCGAGAAGCAGGGAAAACTTCGCGGCCGGTCGGTAACGGCGACGGACGCGACCGGCCAACACCAAAGTCGCCTCATCCGCGTTAGGGATTTAACTTCCGGCATCGAGTTTCTAGTCGACACTGGTGCCGAAGTTAGCGTCATACCCCGTAGCTCAGATGAGGTCGTCTCACCATCGCCGACCAAGCTGCGTGCCGCCAATGGCACACCAATCGCAACTTTCGGCGAAAAGCTGCTAACGCTCAATTTAGGCCTCCGGCGAACCTTTCGCTGGCCTTTCATAATCGCTGCTGTGCCTTTCGCCATCATAGGCATAGACTTTCTTCAACGCTTCGACCTCATCGTCGACGCTAAACGGAAGAAGCTTATCGATTCTAGGACACAGCTCAGTGTTATCGGGACTAGCGCCAACGTGGCTGCTATCACTCCCATTCGTGTCCTACCTCAAGCTTCACAGTCTTTTCTAGAACTTTTCAGCAAGCACCCTAAACTCGTTCGCGTCCTGAACGAGTTGCCTCCGGTGACGTCAAACGTCACGCATCACATTTGCACTAAGGGCCCACCTGTTTCGGCCCGCCCTCGCCGACTAGCCCCGGACAAGCTCAAAGCTGCGAAGGCGGAATTCGAGCAAATGCTCGAACTGGGAATCATCCGCCCGTCTAAAAGTCCATGGGCATCACCATTACACATGGTGCCGAAGAAGTCCGGTGACTGGCGCCCCTGTGGTGACTACAGGGCACTTAACAAACTTACCGTCCCGGATAAATACCCTATCCCGCACATGCACGACTTGACCTCAGCTCTAGCTGGCAAGTCTATCTTCAGCAAAGTCGACTTAGTCCGTGCGTACCACCAGATACCTGTGGCGCCAGATGACATTGCTAAAACAGCAGTCATCACGCCATTTGGCTTATTCGAGTACCTCAGAATGCCTTTCGGCCTCAGCAACGCTGCTCAAACTTTTCAGCGTTTCATTCATGAGGTAACGCGAGGACTCGAAGGCGTTTATCCTTATCTAGATGACATACTCATCGCCAGCTCTTCTGACGAGGAGCATCTTCGTCACCTCGACGCTCTCTTCCAGCGCTTAACACAGCATGGGGTTACCGTCAACCCCGATAAATGCGAGCTTGGCCAAAGCTCCATCGACTTTCTTGGCCACCGCATATCTGCCTCTGGTATCGAAGCCCTGCCAGACAAAATCCAGGCACTGAAGGACTATCCTGCTCCCAGTTCCTTCAAGCAGTTACGCCGATTCCTTGGCCTGGTCAACTATTACAGACGCTTTATACCTAACTGCGCGAGCATTGTTCAACCAATGACTGACTTGCTGCGCGGTAAACAACGCTCTTTTCACTTTACAGACGACGCTAAATTGTCTTTCGAGAAGCTTAAAGACGCTATCTCCAACATAGCGCTTCTCGCCCATCCAGACACATCTGCGCCACTCTCCCTGACGACTGACGCATCCGACACTGCCGTCGGTGCAGTTCTTCAGCAACTCATCGACCATCGATGGATACCTCTAGGTTTCTTCTCAAAGCGCTTACAACCTGCCGAATCGCGATACAGCACCTTCGGTAGGGAACTGTTAGCTATCTACCTAGGTATCCGACATTTCCGTCACTACCTCGAAGGTCGACATTTCACCGTCTTCACCGACCACAAGCCATTGATCTACGCAATCAATGGCGCAACAGACAAGTACTCGCCGCGGGAAACTAGACACCTAGACTACGTTTCTCAGTTTACGACAGACGTACGTCATGTCTCAGGTGCTCTCAATCCCGTCGCGGATGCGCTTTCACGCATTCAGCAGATCAGCTTATCGCCTGGCACAAACATTGATCTAGCCGCCATGGCTGCTGCCCAACAAGCTGATCCCGACATAAGCAAGCCACGACGCAACACCACTGAGACGATCACCATTGATCGACTCAAGCCAGCATTCTTCGACAAGTCTGACTCGCCGGTGCAACAAGCACCTTCACAGCCTGTGCCATCACAGCTGGCACCGCAACCTCAGACGAGTCAGTCCGCTCCAGCAGAACCGACAACCACAACCGACAGCACTCCTACCCGCCCTACTCTCAATCAACGCGGTAGGAAGCTCAAACCTAAGGTTCGTTTTTCGGACTCCGTTCGCACTTACTATTTTACGTAGAACGTGCCTTCGAAATTTTCTGCTCTTACTAAACGTTTTTGAAAATCCACAAAAAAAGACCAAAACGTTTTGAAACTACCAAAAAAGAGCAAAACCTTTTGAAAACCCAAAAACAGCTTTGCACGTTTTTCGCTTTGCACTCTTTTGTGTATTGCTATGCATTTATGCTGCTTTTTCATTTGCTTTCCATATACACCCGTCGGTTGGTTGCCCCTCGGTTTCACTTTCCGCTGGATCTCCGCACGTCAACTGGAAGTTCAACAATCTTCCTGCTCAACTGCCTACGTGAACTTTATTAACTGTCCCCCCCACAAACAGTTTTTTTACCGTTTCGACACCGTAGGGAGGACACGGGTGGGAGCCCGCTAGGGTCCGATTGCATGGTTCTCCCCCAGCAGCTGCATCGGGTTTCACAACCTGGTCTCGCAGAAGGCTGGCCCGCGACGGACAGTCCTCACGTAGATCGAAGGACTGCTTACACAGTCCCTTCTGGGAGAGGGCTATGTAGCAGTCTGGAGATTCCCCGGTTTGCTTGTGTAAAATTCTAACCAAAATTCTATAATTGTACACTTAGGCAACCGGTGTGGTTTGTTGAACTGCTTGCTGAGTTCGAATGCTTTACTTGCTCATCGCCATTTTTGCTTGGCGCTCGCTTCGGTTGCAACGCGCGACTGCTCTGTGTGCTGTGCTTGATCCGTTCCCCTAGCTAGAGCGTCCACGGTGTCGTTCATTTATAGCTAGCTAACAGGGAATCTTTTGCTGAACCAATGAAAGTTTCCCTGCAACTCGATCCGTCTTCTGGAATCGCTCTCTGGGCTCCCGGAATAGGCAACCCACCAAATGTCTGATTCTTGGGCCTAGAAATTTTAAAATGCGCTCTTTGTCAACAATAAGGAAGATATAACACACGTTCTGGTCGTGTTGTTTCCTTTCCACATAAGCTTGCTCAATACGTTCCGTAGGCACTTGTCGAGCGTTTTCTTAGTGCATGCTCTAGGGTGGAGTACTGTAGCGATTGTAAATAATTTGCTTATTTTGCATTTTCACGTTTACCTAACTCGCTGCAGTTGTTGTACAGCTTTGCTTAAATTAACTGTATATACCCACACTTGTTTACGAGCTCGTCTTCCGTGGTTCTTCCTTGGTTGCCGCTGGATTGTTGAGATTGTGCGCATCGCTGCTTGCTCTATTCACGATCGGACTCTGGGTACACGTACATTTCGGCATACCTCGGGATTTACGGCCGTCCGACGCTAAGGTGCATCAGGATACTTTATATGTGAGGTAAACCTGACTGACTTGGTATCCTCCTTTACCCGTTCTTCCATAAGCTGCATGCATTGCACACTTTGATGTTTCCACCTCGATAAGTGGACGCATAGTAACGCGAGTTGAATATTAGCACTTTTGCAACGCAGTGGGAACAACTGATTAAGTGGACACCAGTTAGCATTCATTTCAAAACCGTTTTGCTGCACATTTCGTCTGTGTTCTGTTTTGCGTTTAACAACATCTAGACAGGACGCCGAGAAGACGCATAGAAGATAACCCGCGGACTATTAACGAAAGGTCGTACCAACAAGCTTGTTACAAAAGAAAGCTTTTACGGTATACGTTGCTGAAATCCAGTGTTTTTAACTGACTTCCAAGACTGCGAATTGGTTAAATACAGCATCTTTGAAAACAAGCCACAGAATTTTGACTTTTGGCAATATAATGCGGTCACAGTGCAATATTGGACATAGGGGTGTGGAAACTTTTTTGTCTAATTAATTTACCAAATTTGCAGCATTTGGTTATCCGTATTGCTAAGCATTTGAATCGGAGGCAAACTGTTGATAGCATTTTAGCACACTAAAACACAGTTTTATGGTAACACCAGATAAGAATGTCGGAGTCTGGAGGTCAATTGTTTCACTCCAGTCTGACCAATCAACAAACATCACTGTCTTAAAAGTACCCTGCTAGGTCTGCGACTACGGGGCAGCGACTGCAAGTAAACGATACATTTTCCGCCCCTGTTCTCATGACTAGTGGAGTCCCACAAGGTTCGGTCCTCGGCCCTGTGCTTTTCAACATCTTCATCAATGACTTACCGTCAACACTCCAGGCGGATTGCCTAATCTACGCCGACGACTTGAAGCTGTGGATGGAAGTATCCAGTATGGAAGATGCTGACAGGTTGCAATCGACACTCGACCTGCTACATGATTGGTCAATTAAGTGGCAGTTGCCAATGAATCATGAGAAGTGTTCAGTTCTCCCAGTTGGTGCGTCTGTCCCATTTGGAATCTACCATATTGGTGGTTCCTTGCTCAGAAACGCCACTCAGGAGAGGGATTTGGGAGTGGTACTTTCGTCTGACCTCAAATCTAATGAAGATACCAAGAAAAAGGTCGCTGCGGCCTACAGGATGTTTCACTCTATACGCAGAGCTTTCTTTTGCCTGACCCCGGGGATCTTCCGACTCCTGTTTACTTCACATGTACGCCCGCTTCTGGAATACGGGCTACCTGCCGCCTACCCTCTTACGAAATTCGAATGTGATATGATTGAAAAGGTTCAACGGCGTGGATCCAAATCTGTTGCTGAGCTGCGGGACCTGTCCTATTCTTTCCGACTCAAACAACTGAACCTCTTTTCCCTGGATTACCGTCGTCATCGCGGAGATTTGATCTTCACCCGACGTATTCTTAGAGGAGAGTTGGGGAGGGAATTACAGGAATTCTTTCATCTCAACACAGAGAGTTCAACAAGGGGCCACAGTTTGAAACTGTTCAAACCGAGGAATGATCGAGTGCGATCCAGCCTGGCTTTATCCACTCGCGCAGTATTGTCGAAAGTTCTGGAGAAGATTGTGAAGAAGAGACTGCTCCAGCTATTGGAGACCAACTCTCTCCTGACGCCTGCACAGCATGGTTTCGTGAGAGGCCGCTTGTGCATCACTAACCTGCTGCTAACATGGCATGAATGGTTGCAAGCAGTAAACCAACGTAAGTCAGTCGACGTGGTATACGTCGATTTCAGTAAGGCCTTCGACAGAGTGAATCACGAGATCCTCTTTCAGAAACTGAGGGAGTGCGGAGTCGGAGGCTCGCTGCACCAATGGATCCGTGACTTCTTAGTTGGACGGAAGTGGAGGGTGCAAGTCGACAGCCACCTGACCGACTGGTACCCGTCGACGAGCGGCGTTCCTCAGGGGACGGTGCTTGGCCCCATTCTCTTCCTGATTCACATCAACGACGTGCCCAATCTCCTTCGGTCGCCGTGTGCCTTGTTCGCGGATGACCTGAAGTTATGGAGGGTGATCCATACGTCGGACGACTTTGACATACTTCAGCAGGACCTCGACCGCCTCTCCATGTGGTCCGCCGAAGTAAGTTTGCCTATCAACTCGGCAAAATCGCTACTTCTGTGCCTCGGTAAAGGTGGAGCGGGCCGATCGTACACTCTCGACGGCCAAGTTCTACACCCGACGCATTGCGTCAGAGACCTTGGCGTTATACAACGTTACGACATGAAGTCACTGGACAACACGGACAATATGTATCGCACAGCATTGCGTTCGCTGTGGGCGCTGAAACGTAGCTTCTGCACCTGGTCGAAAGAGATTGCCACTCGTCTCTTCACATCCATTGTACGACCGGTGCTAGAATACGGCTCACCCGCCTACTGTCCGTTGACGAAAGGCGAGATACACAAGCTCGAAAGAGTACAACACATAGCCACACGGCTCATTCCCGGTCTTCAGGGTGTGCCGTATGAAGAAAGATGCAGACAATTGGGTCTGTATACTCTAGCCTACCGCCGCGTGCGAGTGGACCTCATCATGACCCATCGGGTATTGCATCTGGGTGCTTATCCGATGCTGAGGCCACTGCTCCATGTCCGTGCGTCAAGCAGCACACGAGGTCACCAGTACAAACTGGTAGTCCCTGACCTCAAGTGGGTAGCTCATCCCTTGTGTCTTGAGCGGCGAGTGGTGAACATGTGGAACCGTTTGCCCTCGCGGATAGTAGAAGCGAACTCGGTGTCGGAATTCAAACGATTCCTGGACGCGCACTTTGTGAATGCCAGATTCGACGAAGCCTTCACAGGAAACTGACGAAGGAATCGTTCAATGATTATAACCCATGGAGCCCGTTAATCCACCAACTGCAGCTTCCGAAACGATGCCCATCCGTAATAGGCGGCGGAGCTGGTGAAGGACTCCATGTGGTTCATCCAAGAATATATGGTAAGTACATGGAGATTTTTTCTATGCTTGTAAATATTTTACTTTTTTCACCTGGGCTAGCTCACTACTACAGGTAACACTGTGTCAGTGGGACATGTCCTACATTGAGATATAGCTACATAGATGTTCAACATCTTTCTCGCTATCATGACAGTATCAGTTGTGAATGACTGGAACCGCCTTCCGGAGTCCATCGTCGTTGCCGAGACCGAGGAACGTTTCAAGCATTTATTGGACTCTCACTTTAGTTTATGGGGATCCAGCTGTTTCCAATGCAGCTTCAGCGCTTCTCTGTGGGACCTTGTTCCGCAATGACGCAGGCTATCTCCGAAACGATCGGGAAGTGACGGAGCTGACAAAGGAACTTCCTTCTGCTCTCTATTATCCAATGATCCAAAGATTCCTCACGTGACTCATCAGGTTGATCTAGTTGTCGTCCACTGTTCCACATTACACTCTGGAGATAACTGGAAGAAGGCGGCTAGGGTTCAGAACTATCTGAATTTATTGTAGCGGAGACTGCAGTTCGTAGGCTGTTACAAGGGCTGAACCCTTCTAAGGCCTCTGGGCCTGATTTAATTCACCCGAAACTGTTGCATGAGTTGGCTGCGGAACTAAGTGGACCGCTCGCTATTGTGTTTCAGAAATCGCTTGACAGTTGTGCATTGCCTTCCGAATAGAAGGAAGCTGTCATCTGTCCCATCTTTAAACATGGGGACAGGGGTCTGCCTGCAAATTACAGGCCAGTTAGTCTGACGAGTGTAGTAGTCAAACTCCTCGAGAAACTGGTGAGAGATTCATTGGAGAGTCATCTGAGTAGATTTAATCTACTTAGCAATGTACAACACGGATTCCGGAAGGGATTTTCGTGTCTGACGAATCTGTTGGTGGCTCGCGAAAATTGGGCGGATAACGGGTGGGTGGATAACGGCCACACGCTGGACGTGCTTTTCGTCGACTTTTCGAAGGCATTTGACAAGGTACCCCATTTGAGGCTCGCGCAAAAGCTGTCCTCCTACGGGGTATCTGGCCGCGCCCTTCATTGGGTGACTGCCTTCTTGGAGGGTAGAGAACAATGTGTACGGGTAGGCCGGGGTCTGTCATTTAGGCAGTCTGTCCTCAGCGGCGTGCCGCAGGGCTCGGTCCTTGGACCGCTGTTGTTCTCTATCTATGTGAATGACCTACCCACGGAGCTTGAGGTACCATCGCTGCTATTTGCTGATGACCTGAAGCTGTGGAACATTGTTGATGTTCCTGGGGGTTCGGAAGCTATTCAGCGAGCATTGGATAAGCTTTGGGCCTGGTCTACTTTATGGTTACTGCCCATAAATCAGGCAAAGTGCTCCGTTCTTCGAATTGGAGGAGGTTGTCCTCCTGCGAAGTACTTGGTCGGTGGGGTCGAACTCCCCCGTGTATCTAGCCAGGTTGACCTAGGCGTCGTACACTCTTCGGCGTTACACTCCGGCGACAACTGGAAGAAGGCCGCAAGCAGAGGTTTCCGCATGTTGTGGTTAATCCGACGTTCTTTCGGAGTCTTGACGGGCGG